ATAAAGAAATAAAGGAAGAAAGAAAGAAAGAAAGAAAGAAAGGAAGGAAAAGAGAAAGAAAGACAAGAGAAAGAAAGACAAAGAAAGAAAATGTAAATCGTAGTAAAATTAAAAGAAAGAGTAGCATGAAAAGTAAAAGAAAGAAAGAAAGAAAAGAAAGAAAGAAAAGAAAGAAAAGAAAAAAAAAGAAAGAAAAAGACAAGAGAAAAGAAAGACAAAAGAAAGAAAATGTAAATCGTAGTAAAATTAAAAGAAAGAGTAGCATGAAAAGTAAAAAAAGAAAAAAGAAAAGAAAGGAAGAAAGAAAGATAGAAAAAAAGAAAAAGAAAGAAAGGAAAAGAGAAAGAAAGACAAAGAGAAAGAAAGTCAAAGAAAGAAAATGTAAATCGTAGTAAAATTAAAAGAAAGAGTAGCATGAAAAATAAAAGAAAGAAAGAAAGAAAGAAAGAACGAAAGAAAGAAAGAAAAAGAAAAGCGTAGTAAAACTAAAAGAGTAGCATGAAAAGTAAAAGAAAGAAAGAAAGAAAAATTCAATCGTAGTAAAATTAAAAGAAAGTGTGGTATGAAAAGTAAAAGAAAGACAGAAAATAAAGGAAAAAGAAAGACAGAAAGAACGAAAGCTTTAAGTAGAGACTAAAATAATAAAGAAAACCAAGGAAAAACGTTTAGGTATTCATCTTCTGTGTTTTGTTTCCCTTTAGGACGTTGGTGATCATGACTCTCCACAGTTTCCTGTCCTTTGAAACTCTTAGTAAAATTTGCCTTTTTTTACTGTCTCAATGAAACCCTGTTCTGTCATCCATCAATAAAAGCTCGTCCGCTAAGGTATGCGCTGTCTTCCTCTGTTCATCAACATATCCCGTGAGTGTCAAATTTTTCAAAAGCTCTTTCCTCGTTCTGCACCCTAAAAATTTCAGCCCCTTTCTTTCGGATGTTAAGTATAAGTTTCCTTTTTGGTTACATTTTTTTTCTAAAATTTTGTCATTGCTCACAGGTTCATATTTTTCAAACCCTTTTTCCTCATTATGTGTCCTAGAAATTTCAGCACCTTTCTTTCGGGTGTTAAGTATAAGTTTCCTTTTTGTTTGCATTTTCTATAAATAAATAAACTTTGTCATTGCTCAAAAAATCAGTCCATGCTATTCTCAGCATCCTTCTGTACGACTACATTTCTGTTGCCTCAAGTCTTTTTTTTATCTCCGATGAAATTGTCCAGCATTAACTGCCATATAGGAAGACTAATATTACATAACAGTTCACTGATCTTTTCCTTGTTTTTAACAAGATTTTCGTGTTTCTTAATACTTTGCTTAGCTTTTGGACACCATGTTTCACTATTCCAATGCATCACACTTTCCATTCTCTGCTAAAACTGTTCCCCGATATTTAAAAATTAATTTTTGGTATCACCAATTTGTAATTTGCATGTTGGGCTGTCCCTTTTACTGATAACCATGGATTCTGTCTTCTTGCAATTGATGTTTGGCTCTTTCTTCTCGTTTTCTTTCACTCCATCCTGCAGGAGTTGTTGTAGTTTCATTTCTGTGCCTGTTATCGACACTGTGCCATCTTATGTTGACCGCCAATAAAGAACACTGGTGGAGCTTCTAATTCTACCAGAATCGCTTCATGTATAGGTTGAATTAGTCCGGTGAGAAGGTACATCCTTGTCTTACACCCCTTTCTATTCTTGCATATTTACTGAATTCATTTTCTATCCATATGCAGGCAGTTTGCTGCCAATATAGGTTCTGGATTATTCTAATATCCTTCCCAAAGGAAGAAAAAATGCTGGGTTTTTTGGGGGTTGTGGGGGGGTAAAGAGAGGATGCAAAACTGGAAATCAACTCCAAAGAGTTTTTTGCACATTTGAACTGATTCTATTCGTCGCTTTTGTTTTGTTGTTCCTACGACGTTTCGGACGATCCATTCTATAGCCTTCTTCAATTGTATTTTCTTTATGAAAACCGATGTTTCTTTTTCAGGTAGGGCAAAGTAAAAAAAAAAAATCGGTAGGAAATTTAAATGTTAACATCAAGTATTATAATTTATTCTATTTTCAGTATCGCGTGAAGTACAGCTTGTTCCATAATCTTAAATGCTATCAGTTCCTTTCTTTGTGAAACAACGAACTGTATACCATATACCTGTTGAGCATCTAAAGACACATAATATCAAAATATACACCGACCTGACATGAATCTAACCGACAAATTGACATATACTGACTCTGACAATTTCTTCACTCTCCAACGATTTTTTCTGTGTTATTCAGAATTACTTCTAGAGACTGTAATATAAACTCTTCTATTTCCAGATACGTTTCCAGACAAATTGACATATACTGACTTTGACAATTTCTTCACTCTCTAAGGATTTTTTCTCTGTTATTCAGAATTACTTCTAGAGACTGTAATATAAACTCTTCTATTTCCAGATACGTTTCCACTATAAGAGACTTTTCCACTTTTCAGTATAACCCACTTATGTTCTTCAAGCGTGACAGACGAATAGTCGTACTCGGCACATTGGAAAAACTTCAACGTCACAGACTAGAACATCACAACAATATGGCGTTGCCTATAGGATCTCTAACATCGTTGGATGAGCCGGACTTTGTGGAAACAGGGATTCGTTGTTTTGCTCCCCAGGCGCGGACCGAGAAGTTAAAAGACCACAAAGTTGCAGGAGTAGAGATCGAGATTACAGATCTCTTTTTGACATCGGCATGATGAGAAAGATCTCTGTCATGGTGTGTCCCAGAGAATTGGAGGATTTGGCCATTTCCCAAATTTCAGGCATTATAAAGAGAAAATATGACCGAAAAAGAAGTTGGTTATCGCTGAGAGAACAAATTTTCTCACGAGCAAACAAGAGCCAAACGAAACAATAATACAGTATCTACACAAGCAACGACAGGCTTCCAGATTCTACGAGATTGCAAAGCTTGGCACTGGAGAAATGACCACTGAAGATGAGTTCATGCAAGTGAGATTAATTGAAAGTATGCATAATGCTTTTTAAAAACACAGCATTTTAGAATGGTTACAACTGACTAACATGTCCTTAGATGCATCTATAGATTTTCTGCAACAATTAGAGTTAATTGAAAATTTCAATACATCCTCGAATAATGCTGAAACACACAGTATATCGAAATATCTTGTGCGATGCAAATATTATGATAAAAAGCATGAACGAATCAAGAAAAAATGTCCAGCTTTAGCGCAAGTATGCCAGAATTGTGAAAATAAAAGAAAACGTGTTCAGTCTGTGTGCAAGTATAAAAGGAAAAATAGAAAAGAAAATTTAACCTCACTTCGGGAAAATACAGCTGTATTTGCGATAGCAAAACATAAAGAGAAAATGCCAGGGATAAAATGAAACTGAATAGTATAACTTTACATATGCAAGTAGATGCTAGGAGAGACGCCATCTTAATCCCAATACATTTCTGGGAACAATTGGAAAAACACAAATTTAAAGAAAAGTTGGATTAAACTAAGACAGTTCGATAACCCTATCGTCAAAACGTTAGGTTGTTTTGAAGGAACTTTTAAGACTGACAGACGCTTCGAAATTATACCCATTACGGTAGTGAAATATGAAAAAGTCATGGAATCGTGAGAAAAGATGTCTTGAAAGTGGATACAACTAAATTAATTAACAGTGGGAAGTTGGAATGTAATGACAGTGGGGTGTTAAAAAGGATACAAAGCGAGTATTCAGTTAAAAGAAAATAGTCACCTCTCTTTGACCTTCACAGACAGTCTATTAACAAGTTACCTTTAGTAGTTGCTAAACTGAAAACTATGGTGAAGTAAGGAATTTTAGAGCATGTTCTGCCTGGTGGTAGTAATTGGGCCTTGTTTTATGAAAGCTCGGTGGAGATTTAAGAATATGTGGGGATTACAAAATAGGAGTAAACACCAAAATATGTTTTGATTCGTTCCGTATTCCCAAAATTAAAACTGCTATTCACTAGCTGCCGAGAATTAAATACTTAAATGACCCCAAATTTGCTTATAATCAGATGTAAATTGGTCAAAAATTTAAAGAGGTCACTGCGATTAACTGTTCCATAGGATTAGATTGGAAGCATATGCCTTATGGCGTAAAAAACAGCAGCTGTTATTTTTTAAAAGAGCCATTTAAAATGTACTAACTGGAGATGTTAAGAATATGATTATCTATCAAGATGATATATGTACTGGTGCTACAAATAAAGAAGAGCGAAAACAAAAAAAAACGTATTATGCTTTAAACAAATTAAAAAAAAATTGCTGAGATGACCCTAAACATGGGCAAGTGTGTGTTAAATTGCAATACAATGACATATCTGGGATAACAAATTTCCAAAGGCAGAATTTCAACAGACACAAATTTGCTAAAGAAAATCTTACTTATTATAAAACGCAGATTGTGTGTGTGTGTGTGTGTGTGTGTGTGTGTGTGTGTGTGTGTGTGTGTGTGTGTGTGTGTGTACGTTTATATATTGGATCGGATTTCACATTTTCAAACTGATTTCAACAAAACTTCACAGGACTACGTAAAATTCCCTTGCGGTGGTTCTGACAGCGCCAAAAATTGAAAAAACACAATTGTTTTGCATCGAAATCAATTTGAAAACACGATTCTGTCGCCAGAATGAAAGGGGCAACTCATATCGAGTTATACTTATAAAACCCATGTTGTGTGTGTGTGTGTGTGTGTGTGTGTGTGTGTGTGTGTGTGTGTGTGTGTGTGTGTGTGTGTTCGTTTATATATGGGATCGATTTCCTACATTTTTCAACTGATTTCAACAAAACTTCACTTTTTTTTGGCAGGTAGTATTTCTTATTGTCTTGCACACTTTTTTTTCTTTATTTTTTACATTCAGAATGCTTTAAAATTCCATTTACAAGACAATTGTTTATAATAAAATTTATTCAATCGGTAGACTCATAACGATTGAAAACAATGTTTTCTTTGAGTTTGACCAATTCGTAAAAAAAAAAAAAAAACTAATTAAGACATGCGTGTCCGTCAACCTTAAACAATAATCTTTGTCAATTTTATTTTTCAGTCTTTATGATGGTCGATACTTGATCTATCTCTTACTGTTACATCCCCGGGCAACGCCGGGCTCTACTGCTAGTAGTAGATATATCTACACTTACAAATAAAAAAAAATTGGAATCGTTTTTAGGGTTAGCCAATTTTATAACAGATATTTGCCAAAGTATAGTGAATTGATAGAACCCTTTGTGGACTTAGGCAAAAAAGAACAACAAATTTAAATGGACTCAATGGCAGAATACAGCATTTAAAAATTTAAAGAAAGAATTTATATAAAAAAAAACCGTTGTAAAAATTGTTGATCCTAAAATAGAAGTGACTTTAACTACAGACGCAAGTGAGCCTGTCGTACCTTCAATTTTGTCTTAAGAAGGTCATCGTATAATCTACCTTTCTTGAAGGTTAACGTCAGCCGAGGATAACTATTCAAATATTGTATGGAACCCAGATACAGCCCGTCAGTTGTTATTAGGCAGGAAGTATCTGCTTAAATCTGTTATAGACAAGCGTATGGTTGCAAGAATGAAATACGACAACAGCAGAAATAGATTTACGTGATTTATTTCAATAGGAACGTGTGGGTTTGGGACAGCTACCTTGTGGTATAGTTCATAAGCCGGTTGATCTCTTATAGTAGTTCTCTCTGGTTGGCGGGGCGCTACTGCTGCTGACAGCTGCTGGCTGCTCAGACCGACCGTGACCGATCTGTTCCCTGGCCTCCTGTTGACTGCTGTTGTACTTCCCCGTGTGACCCCTTTTATGGCGTTTTTTATGGCTTAACAGGCTCGAAAAACGACGCGAGTATAATTAGGAGGGAAGCATTTTTAGTGGTCGAAAAATAGAAACACTTTAAAATATTATTTTATTTTTCGACCGGAACTCGTGCGTCGGGAACAGGCGTAGACGACGATAATGGTCATTTTGTGACGGGGCCTTGTCCCGTTCACATCCGGCTCTCGCTCTTGAGTATGTTAGTTTATTTGCCCGCAAATCAGCCGAGATATGTCTTATTTTATTTTATAACAAATCTGACCATAAACCTTTAGAAATTATTTAGAGTGATTGTTCCGGGGCAAGTAAGAGATAAAGATGCAAGTTAACTATAGAGAAGGGTCTTATATTCAGTGGAGATGTTTTAATACCACCAAAGAGATTAAGAAATAAAAGCAACAGAGACGATTAAAATTGTGTGATGTAAAAAAAATACGTACAAAAATGCCCAAAATGTAGAGAAATAAAAAAAAAACACTTTCGCCAAAGCAAGATACATTCATGTCCTAAAGAAAAAATGCCATGATCCCGCGTTCATAAGGACCCTGCGTATGCTAAAGGCGTAAAACTATTGGTCATTTTCTGGGTGGTCTGAAATGGTTAGAATTCGGTAAAGCAAATATTACGAGTAATATTTTCTAGAAATGGGGTGCCAAAAACGTTTGTCTTTAAAAATGCAACAGAATTTTGTGATGAAACGTTGTATTCATCGTTAAAAAAAATTGAATGCTTCCCTTCACCATCATACCACCCGCAATCGAATGGAATTTCAGAAAAAGCGGTGAAGACGGTGAAAATGATGTTGAAGGCATGTTCCCCCATCAAGAGGCAACGTAGATGATTACCTAACGGAACTATTACTGAGTTATAGAACTATTCCTCATACTGGTAGAATGCAAGGTCCATCGACGTTGATGTGAAGACAAATTAGATTGCCTATGACAATTCAACAAATGAAAAAGAAGCTAACTTACACAAAAGTGGACATAATACGGTTGTAATAGCTATAAATGGACAATATTTATTGGCTCATTCTGATCAAATAAAACCTAGAACTGACGACGAAGAAGTCGAGACAGAAGAGAAGGGGAAAGCTGAAACTGATTCTGGCGGAGAAAGAGAAAGATAGTTGGTAAAGAAACTATGGAGGATAGTTTGCACGAGTCCGACATGCGTGAACAGAATGAAAATGAGTCCATGCCTAGATCCTCAAAGAAAAGAATAGAAACAGGTACACACCTCAAAAAAGGGGAGAGAGAGAGATCTCGTAGTATTATTAAGAGAAGTCAAAGATCAACGAATGGCGTAAAACCTCTTAGTTTCCGGAAGCTGTAGTGGCAAAATGGAGTTGCTTTATTTTGCAGAGTCGAACGTCTACTGATCAGTCAGTCGTCACTCGGCACATTAGGAAAACTTCAACGTCACAGACTAGAAGGCATCACAGCAGTAAACAATTCTAAAACAGAAGGAAAGAAAGAAATGATGACAGAAAAGGAAGGAGTGGCAAACGAATGAGCAAAAGAAAAAAGCGAAAATAGATGGAAGATAGAAAGAAGCCGCGAAAAACAAGAAAAGAAAATTGCGAGAAGAAGGGAAAAAGTGAAAAAAGAAAAGAAAAATAATGGAGAAAAGCAAGAAAAGAAGAAATGAACAAAATTTCATAGGGTGGAAAATAAGAAAAAATGAGAAGAAAAACGAAAAAAAGGAAGAAAAAATAACGAGAGAAAAAAGATGGCGATGAGAGTGCAAGCAGTAAAGAAAGCTACAAAAGAAAAAAAGGACATTTAAAATTGCTTATGTAGCAGAAAAGAAGAAAAACGTGAATTTTACGAAGATAAGTCGATGTAAATGCCACCGTTCTACAAGTTGAAAAAAGAGAAGAAATTCAATTTCTAAAGAACATTCGACAATGAAAGGATTTGTGAATGGAAAAAAAAAAGAATGGCGTCATAAAAAAAAAGAATATGTAGCTTAAAATCGGGTTTCCTTTTCCTTCCAGTCCTGACGATTGATTGATGCGAAAATATAAAATGAATAGGAAAGAATGGAAAAGTGCAAAACGTTAAGAAAATAAACACATAACGAATAGCTAAAACGAATAGATGGAGATAAGAAAAAAGAAATTGTGAAAGAAAAGACAGAAAGAAAAGATTGCGGTATGGAAGAATAGAAAAGCAAGCAAGAAAAAAAAAGGATGGAAAGAAATGAAAATAAATTTGCTTAGGTAATAAGAGATGACGGTGATGAAAGAAAGGGTGAAAGATAACGTAAATTTTTAAGTGGAAAGATGAGACGATGTCCTTCATCAAAACAGAGAAAAAGGAATTCATTTTTTGTAACTGAAGAAGATATGGCAACGAAAGGATTAATGTGGGGGAGGGGCGGGAAGAAGAATAGCTCAATAAAAGAGAAGCCGTAGATTTGTTTATCAATGTATCAGCATGAAGAGAGAAAACGGGAATGGAGGACAAAGGGGGAAGAAGAATGAAAATAACCAATGGAGGGAAAATCAGATTATCAAAAGATGATGAAAGTAAGAAAGTGATAGTAAATGTGAGTGTCTGGCTGGGTGGACGAATGGATAGAGGGAAAGAAAGAAAGAAAGAAAGGGAATAGAGAAGAATGAAGAAAAAAAGAAAATGAAAGCAAAAGGAAGGAAGATAGAGTCAAAGAAGAATGAAGTAAGCAAAGAAAGAAAAAAAACGAAAAGAAAAGAAGGAAGAAACAAACAAATAGGAGCAAAGAATAAAAAGAAAGAAAGAAAGTAAGTAAGTAAGAAAGAAAGAAATGGCCAAATAAGATCGCAGTAAGAGACGGAAAAGCAACAGAACTGAAAGGCTAGATTACAAGGGTTTAGGGCCGTTTTTTTTTTCCAGCGTGAGGTGCATGCAGTACATAGGGCAATTCGAGGATGACTTAATAACAGTGATTATTTTCTAGTGAGTCTGTTATTAGTATGAGTGTGTGTGTGTGTGTGCGAGTTAATACATACGGTGCATATACAGTATGCATACATAAAATAATTGTGCATGTATGTACATGTGTCATTACGTATATACTGTATAATATATATATATATATATATATATATATAAGTATGTATGTATTTCTGGGAAAAAAGTGTGAGTTTGTAAACAGTGACTATTACTGCTACCAATGCAATACTCTTCGATAAAACGAATCGAGTCCTCTCAGTCACTGGTGTGTTTGTCTAAAAATAAATACGCTTAAATTCACCTTCATCCCTGCCGTGTGGCTTAGGGGTAGATTCCCCGACTGACGCCAATTCAGCCGGGTTTCGATCCTAGCTAGAGGCAACCGGATTTCTAGCCACACTCATATAGTGAAACAGCCTGTCTGTATATATATATATATATATATATATATATATATATATATATATATATATATATATTAGTAACATAATATTTTTTATGAATATTGTAAAATTCTAAACTTAAATGATAATACTATTGCATATATGCAGTGTCAAGTTCTTAAGGAAAGTTAACTTAATGGCCTTTCAGGCTTCCGTCACGTGAATAGGAGTTCACTTTTGAATAATAAGAATATGTCACAGGTGGGGCAGGGAAGCATGATTTTAGAGATGCTTAGGTGCGCCATGTTCAAGATACAGTGACAAGAACTTCCAAACTTTAATGGTGTATTTCTAAGCGTAGCTTAGATGTGGCACAAGGCCAAAAGTATGGGACTCTAAGTAAGGACCGAACTCACTATTCAGTCGTAATTAATCTAGCGAGACCAACTTACTAACCATTACAGCACGTTGAGGCGCCTCTTCCAGATTGTGTATTTATTGTATTTTAAATGCAATTTTGGCACAATGCCGAATGAGAAATGAGGTGAGGTTGTCGTCATTGACTATCCTAAACCTAGTTAATCCGATTCGCAAACCCATTCAGCCATTACAGTTTACTGATTCACTGCAAGAACACATCCTTCTTCACCTAAGCCTACATTTACCAAAATAAAATATACACACAGCGGAACTTACCAAAATCCTATGATGTAAAAATTTATGGATATTTACACTTTGTACTTTTTATTATTCTTCTCAATTTTTTACAAAAATATATAAAATTGTGTATCATGAAATGAAGTGGGTGAGGATGATCCCAATAACGAAAATAGAAAACAACCGACTATTCAAACTAAAACAAAAATAATTTATTGGGACACGTCCACCCCACAAAATATAAGAATGGTCGTTGTATTTTGCCAATAGGCAAAATCAAGACACTCACTCACTAAAAGTGAAATGATTTTCTAAGCGGAGCTTAGATGTGGCACAAAGCCAAAAGTATGTAAGCCCCAATGAGGATCGAACTCACAATCAGTCTTAATTGATCTAGCGAGACAGGCTTGCTAAACATTGCACCACGTCAAAGTACCCCTTCTAAACTGCAATGGCTGAAACACATTTAACCAAAAAGGCTGATCATCCTGGGTATGACGATAGACTACATCCGACAGCAAAGTCTCTGATTGGGAGGTTTTGAGGAATGTGAAAGTACATCTTAATTACTGTTGTTCCCAGGTCCACCCTGATCTGGGGTGGTAGCACCTGTTAGGGTCCCAGCTATGGGCAAATAGTTAACTCCCAAACTGGTGTCAAAACACTATGAAAGTATAAAAATAGATGTTTATAGTAAAAATACCAGCAATACATCATAAACCAGATTCTTAACACTGGTCAACACCAAATTCATTGTCTAAATATTTTTAGCTGATTTAAGACAATTTTTAACTGCTGAATCCAAAAATCACATTGGTTTTGCTCAATCAGGTCAACTTTTGAGATATGGCTACATGCTTTTTTAATGGTTTTGTTTCTGTTGTTATGTCCATTAAAATATATAAATGTGCAACATATTTCACACAATAAAACTAATTATGATGTTAATTTTAAACTTATTAATTTTAAACCATCAGAAATAGTTTCAGCCAAATATAGCTTCATAAATATTAAAACACGCCTCCAAAATATTTAGAAACTAATAACACACAAGAAAGTGTTTACATATCAAAACACGCCAATTATGATGTACAATACAAAACCATAGAATATAAATCAGAAAGGTTGTTTTATTAGTCATTATAATTTAGGTTTACCACCAAAATATCGGACGGACGTAGTAGTAAGCATACCACGTCACATTTTAGGGCCAATTAGGAATAATTAGTTATATAATTCAGGAGTCAATTTCTCAGGAATAACCGTATAAAAATCACGATGTTTGACCTTAACGACAGAGTCTCTCAGATTCCACTCTAACTGCTAATATTCAAGAACTCATTCACTTCTACACACACACACACACACACACACACACACACACACACACACACACAATCAAGAAACGACTCAACAGCTTGTTGACCAGGATCAAGCTTGGGTGCCACACATGGTATGTAAGACATGTACCGAGTATCTGCATTGATGGACCAAGGGCAAGAAAAGTTGTCTGAAATTTGGAATTCCCATAGTTTGAGTGGAGGCAACAAACCATAGCCCTGACTGCTACTTCTGTGCTATTGATGAGGCTGGGATCAATAGAAAGAACCGGAGTCGCCTCAAGTATCCTAATCTTCAATCAGCGCGTCGTCCTGTAGCTCATTGTGATGAAATTCCAATAGCTCTCTTTGGAGAACTTCCTGACATTAGTGAGAAAGATTTAAGTGTTCAACAACAACAAGAAAAGGTAATGGTTTTTGACAATAACTAAATGATCTCATTCACAATCTATGTCCTCTCTCATTCATCTGCCCAACTGTTAGCATCTAGATTGAAAGGAAAAAAAAAACTTCCTCTCTGACAGTGCTCACATCATCTTCTACCACAACAGTCATGAAGAGTATCTCCGCTTTTTCTCCGAAGAGAAGTTCTTGGTTTACTGTACAGATATTGCGCAGTTCTTCACAAAATTGGAGTGCCACAGTACGTACCCAAAGATTAGAGACTGTTCACTGACAGCGACAAACGATCACCGAAGGAGAAATATGAAGCAGTGAAGTATGTATTGGCAAAAATTACACTATTTGCATTATTCGGACTATTGTCCTCATCTTTGTTGCCATATTTATCACAACGTTGGAAGTCAGTTATCAGTTATCTCCTGTTAATTCCCCTTTCCAAGTTCTCCACCGCCTTAACCAGGTATTGAACTCACACTCTTTGGGTCCTGTCACTGGATCTAACTAACATAGTGGATATCCATATCCATTAGATATCCATCAAACATGGCACGTGGAACTAGAACAGTCTACCCCAGCGAGCGAAATAAAGGGTTCAATTCGACATTCCAACCACCTGAACAAGGCCGGAGCGTACAACGACCGAAACGTTTTGATAAATATGGCAACAAAGATGAGGTCAATAGTCCGAATAATGCAAATAGTGTACATAATACCTCATTTCAGAAATATAGAAAGATACTGAAGAAGGCCGGAGCGTACAACGACCGAAACGTTGTGATAAATATGGCAACAAAGATGAGGACAATAGTCCGAATAATGCAAATAGTGTACATAATACCTCATTTCAGAAATATAGAAAGATACTGAAGAAGGCCGGAGCGTACAACGACCGAAACGTTGTGATAAATATGGCAACAAAGATGAGGACAATAGTCCGAATAATGCAAATAGTGTACATAATGCCTCATTTCAGAAATATAGAAAGATACTGAAGAAGGCCGGAGCGTACAACGACCGAAACGTTGTGATAAATATGGCAACAAAGATGAGGACAATAATCCGAATAATGTAAATAGTGTACATAATACCTCATTTCAGAAATATAGAAAGATAGCGAAAATTATTTATGATCAGAATGAGTAGTTTATTCGCATTGACCTGAAGGTGTTAAACTTTTTGTTGGGACAACAGTCAAGGTTAACCAAGTATCCATGATTTCTGTGCATGTGGGATAGTAAAGACGACACCGATCAGCAATACACGAAAAAGGACTTTTAAACAAAAAAATAACAATTGTTGGGCGAAATATATTTCTTTTTTTTTCTTTTTTTTTTCTTTTTTTTTACAAAAATATTTTTCAACATTAAAGGACAAACATATACACATTTTTAGTTAAAGAATGAACGGATATTTTAAACAAGCATTTCTTTAACAGGTGAAATGTTTTTGATATTTTTACAAAAAGATTCTTATAATTAAATGCCCAACTTCTTGTTGGAAATCCTCCTCTATTGTTCCGGTCTTTAAGAACTCAAGTGAATCATCTGACCCTTCGTGCTATCGACCTATTCGTCCTCTACGTCTTTCTCGCAGACTACTAGAGGCTCTAATCAACTCTGAATTAGTTAAGCATCTCACATCGCAGGGCCTTCTTTCACTTCTCTCGTTCAACTGCTGATCTACTAACGAGAGAGACTATAAAGTTCAGCCTGTTGCTTTGAACATCTCGAAAGCATTTGACAAAGTTTCAGATAACGGTATTTTTTCAAATTAAACAGCTGTAGTATTTCCGGACGAATTTTTGAAATGATTCAGTCTTTCTTACCAAATTGCAAAATGAAAGTTATCCTGAATGGCAACTCTTCCAGGTCCTTTTGTACTAATACAAGTGTCTTGGAACTACTTTGTTCTTCATTTTCATCAATGACCTTCCTGGTGACATTAGTTCTCAACTTGGTTTTGTTGCCACATATGGATCAATTCTCCTGCTATATATTTAGAGATCTTACTTATTATAAAACGCAGATTGTGTGTGTGTGTGTGTGTGTGTGTGTGTGTGTGTGTGTGTGTACGTTTATATATTGGATCGGATTTCCTACATTTTTCAACCGATTTCAACAAAACTTCACAGGACTACGTAAAATTCCCTTGCGGTGGTTCTGACAGCGCCAAAAATTGGAAAAACACAATTGTTTTTGCACGGAATCAATTTGAAAACACGATTAAGAGGCATTAATGAAAGTGGGACAATTCATATCGAGTTATTGAGTTATACTTATTATAAAACCCAGGTTGGTTGTGTGTGTGTGTGTGTGTTCGTTTATATATGGGATCGGATTTCCTACATTTTTCAACTGATTTCAACAAAACTTCTTTTTTTTTTTGGCAGGTAGTGTTTCTTATTGTCTTGCACACTTTTTCTTTATTTTTACATTCAGAATGCTTTAAAATTCCATTTACAAGACAACTTTTATAATAAAATTCTATTCAATCGGTAGACTCATAACGATTGAAAACAATGTTTTTGTTTGAGTTTGGGTTTGACCAATTCGTAAAAAAAAAAAACTAATTAAGACATGCGTGTCCATCAACCTTAAACAATAATCTTTGTCAATTTTATTTTTCAGTCTTTATGATGGTCGATACTTGATCTATCTCTTACTGTTACATCCCCGGGCAACGCCGGGCTCCACTGCTAGTTCTTAATAAAATCCAAAGAAGAACCAGCAGCCCTGTCCTAACATAATGGTTTCAGTCACTTTCCTATTGCTATGTTGTTTTCCTGTGCCTTTACTATAAATAATTTCATGGTAATTGTTTGAATGAACTCTTATGTTACCTAGACTTTATGAATTTAAGCATAGTACTAGAGTGTCTGCAAGCTCTCATCAATTTACAGTTGAAATAGCTAGATATAACCGTAAATTTATTAATTTACTCAATTAATAAATTAGTTAAGTTAGTTAATTAGCTGAATTAGTTAAGAATCTCACATCACAGAGTCTTCTTTTAGATAAGCAATATGGCTTTTGCTTCTCAAAGTCAACTGCTGATGTGTTTACAATTATTGCTATAAGAGTCTATTAAGTTTTAGATAAGAATGGTGAAGCTTGGGTTGTTATTTTGGATATCTCAAAGGCATTTCACAGGGTTTGGCATATTTGGTTTCTTTCACAAGTTGAAAGGTTATGATATTTCCAGATGAATTTTTGAACTGATTCAGTCTTTCTTATCAGATTGTGAAATGAAAGTTGTCCTGAATGGCTACTCCTCTAGATCTTTTTCTACTAATGCAGGTGTCCCCCAGGACTCTATGCATCAACTTATCTTTATTCTTAATTTTCATCAATGGTCTTCCTGATGACTTCAGTTCTCAATTTGGTATCTATGCTGATGACACAAACATTTATTCCTGTCTCAATAGTAGGTCTGATCAGTTCAATAAGGTCCAAAATGATCTACAATTTGCTGTTAACTGGGACAAGGAATGGCAGGTTATTTTTAACGCCTACAAAACGAAATTTCTCTCTACTAATCATCTGAGAGACCCCTTGCTGCACCCCATCAGCACGGCTGATGCTAACCTCTAGGAGAGTGACACATTGCACCTTCTCGGACTAATGTTTCCAGCTGACATGAAGTAGAAAGATTACCATACATTGAATCTATTGCTAGGTCTGCTGCTAAAAAGTTGGTTGACTGCTTTTTGATCGACAATTTTTATCTCTAGAACTTATCTTACATATTTATAAGTCTACTGTTGGGCCATGGATTGAATATTGCTGCTATATATGATCCGGTTGTCTTGCAGTATATTTAGAGATTCTTGATAAAGTCCAAAGAAGAATCTACAATATTATTGGTCCTGACCTGGCATCTCGGCTTTAGTCACTTTCCCACCACTATAATATAGCTTCCCTGTGCCTATTTTATAAATACTTTCATGGTAGATGTTCGGATGGACTCTTTGCTATAGTACCGAGACTTTATGAAATTAAACTCAGTACTAGATTGGCAGCAAGGTCTCATCGATGTACAGTTGAATTGGTTAGTTGTAATCATATGTTCTATGTTAACAGTTTCTTTTCTCACATTCTCCCTTGTGGAACTCTCTTTTGGCTCTATACTTTCCTTCCAACTTTAATCTTTAAAAATGTAAATGCAATGTCAATCGTTATTTACTGTCTTCTTGATTATACTTTTATTGTTCACACTCCTTAATAATGTTTCTCTTTTTTTTTCACTCTCAGTAACCTATTGTGTACTAGTGACTTTACTTCCTTGCATGGGGTGAAATGATTAAAAAAAATTAAAGAACAAAAATAGATATAAATTAATAAAAGCATATATTTCTTCATTTAATGTAAATAATTATCTTATATTATTATGTTTGTACATGTGCTTCCAAAAAACAAATCCAGATAACTCTGTAAAACTTAAGGGACTTATTTTACATTGTGTTTATATTATGAATAGTGCCCTACTTCAAAATCAATAAAAAATTAATATTTTTATTCTTGCAAATTTTGTGACATGAGAAAAATCTAATGAATACTAATCTACAAAAATATCCTTTTTATCTTTGTAAACAACACCTTTTTATTCAAAACTTTTTGTCTTTAATGCAACCCCTTTTTATTCAAAACTTTTTGTCTTTGCAAACAACACCTTTTTTTTCAAATTCTTCTGACTTGCATACATCACCTTTTTATTCAAACCTTTGTCTTTGCAAGCAACCATTTTTATTCAACATTTTGTCTTTGCAAGCAACTCCTTTTTATTCAAACCTTTGTCTCTGAAAGCAACCCCTTTTTATTCAACTATTGAACCTATTCAAACCTTTTGACTTTGCAAGCAATCTGTTTTTATTCAAACCTTTTTTTTGCATGGAACCCATTTTTTTCAAACCTTTGTCTTTGCAAGGAACCCCTTTTTATTCAACCTTATGTTTTGCAAGCAACCACATGTTAACACAGGCACAAAATCACAACACTTTTCTAACACTATTTCCATAAAAAATGTTCTAATGAGCTACATTTCTTGTTTCCACTAGTTCAGTCATTCACAGCTCAGATCCACCATGTCATATACTCAGGAACCAAAGCATCCTCTTCCTCTTCATATTCAAATTAGGAAGGAAGTTCCACTCAGAGTGCATCTTCACAAGAACTGATGCTTTGTGGGTCAGATTACCTAGATGATGCTTCCCTGACCACCACTGTCTTAACTGATTCAAGTCTAGCATCAACCATTATCTATCCTACATATCCTTATAATGTAAAATTCTTGCATCCATAAAACAACCCCATTCAGTAAACCTCTACCTTGAGTGGCTCCTGTGACTTATATTAAGTGAACAATAGTGTAAAAAAGTTAGAAGTGAGAGATAAAAATGGAGTTAACTATGTCCCTTGTAATTTCTATAAATCCAAGTAGTTATAATTTTTTATAACTGAACTCACATCTACATAGTAAAAGTGTCGGGATAACTTCTTCTCTTCTCTAATTAGTATGTTACATGTTTGGCCAGTCATGTGACCCTTAATGGCCAATCAATAGAGACCAGAAGAACTTTCATACACTCCAGTGAGAGATGATTTCTCCTTGGCTTTGATAAAGACATTCCTTTGCAACATAATTGGCCTTGCATGTAAGTAAAGACGGCCTTTTGCAGCATCCTCTAATTTTTTGGATGAATTTATTCTCTAGTACCTCACAGATTTTGGGTAATAACATTTAAAACATCATTTTATTTTACAATGATATTCACCTTTACAATGCCCAAGAGCCATTCGAGGTAGAGGGTTACAGAGGCTAAGTTTATGGAGATATGTGGGGAAGATAATGGTTAACCCTAGACTTGAACAGCTTATGTTTGTAGTGATCACAGGTAGTATTCTATTGTTGCTCAGAAGGCTGGTCTTCTTGTTGACTCAGATAATTTGCTGATGACACTAAAGGTGATGAGTTAATATTACTGATGGGTTGATATTGCAACAATGATGAATGTTCATTCATATTCTTGTATACAAGGCATATATATATATCTGACACCTTCCACAGACTTGGAAAGCATTTCTCCTACAGGAAATGGCTAAACAATTTGCCAAGATGGGGGATTACAATAAGCTTTTGTTCTTAAGAAAAACTAGAAATCAGAAGTTTTCTTAGAGTCGAGGGTTTTGATGAGTGCTATGATAGAGATATTAAAAAGTTTGATTCTCTGAGAGGGGGAAAGTTGGATAGAGGATGACCCTTGTTGTCTAACTTGGAATAACAGGCAAAGTTCATTGCAAAGAGCCTTGGCTTATCTGACGAAGATGAGATAACTTCAGAGCCATTTATGATGGCAGGAACTGATATATACAAAGGAAGGAAGGGAAGGAAGGAAGGAAGGAAGGAAAGCAATAGAATGATACATGCACAAGAAAAAGATATAAAGAGAGAGAGAAGAAAATAGAATGATATATGCATAGGATAGATAGATAGACTGAGAGATAGAAAGAAAGAGAGACAGAACAAGAGATAGGCAGAGAGTAACAGGGAGAGACAGAGAGAACAAAAGAAAAAGAGAATGATGCCTGCTCAGTGATAGAGAGAGAGAGAGAGAGAGAGAGAGAGAGAGAGAGAGAAATAAAGGAAAGTAATTCAACAAAGAAAGAAGAAAAGAAAGAAAGAAACCAATCCTTTGTAAAGAAGCTGACTGCAGAATATTTGAGAATTGGTTTAAGGATAAAATTCTTAAGCCAAAGATGAATAGGATGAGTAAATATTTTGTAGATGTCGAATGTTTGACTATTTCCTGTGAGTTCATTGCTTTTGCTGCACGTGCAAATGCAGGGAATTTCAGAAATCAAAAGGGAGAGTAAAGATATTTGGCTTTACAAAAATTTACACCTGTTCAGACAGTTGTTGCCACATCACAAGAACAAAAAAAAGGGGAGTCATTATTAAACAAACACAACATAGCAGGATGAAGCCATGATTAAAAATACCAAAGGAGGAATAATTAAATAAAGAGAAACTTGATTAAACAAAGAAAAGGAAAGGCATATTTTTTTAAAAAAAGAGAGAATACTGCATTGTGGGAACAATATGACTGATAAAAAAAAGGGAAATAACATAGAGATGACTGAAAGATCTGAAACATTATTAAACAAAGCTGGGGTGGACCATGATTTAAAAAAAAGAATTCATAATTAATCAAACATCACACGTGGAAAAATGGCTCATGTTTAATTTTGAAAAAAACAATTCTTTTTTGAATCAGAATAATCCCAAATTTAATTCTAGTATAATTATTTTAAAATTTCAAATAAATGCTCTTCAAAATATTTCAATTAAAAACAAGTTTTATGAGAAAATATTTTCATTTCAGTGAAAGAAAAACTTTTCTTTTTTTTCTTGAGAGTGAAAAATCCAATTTGTAGAAAAAATCTAATACCGAAAGAATTAATTTAAAAAATAATATAGAACTAATTATTAATAAAAAAAAATAATTTCATAAATTTGATATGAGAAAACAATTGTTTTTATAAACAAAATTTCATTTTAAAAAATAAAGGGTGTTCTAATAACTCAAACCAATTTTAATGTGAATTAAATTTAAGTGTCTAATATTTTTCTTTTTCTTTCAGATTTGGTAGACATTTGGGCGATATTATTTTTCATACATAATTGCCATGACTTAAATAATATGATCCAACAAAGAAATAAATAAATTTTCCCCAATAACACTGATTTATTTACTACTGACGATGATCCGTCTTAATAAAACACCATTTGTTATGTAAAGAGAAAGAAAATTCAATTTAATAAAATAATTTTTTATCTGAACAAAAATTGAATGAAAAGAAATGAAAACTGATTCAAATTATTTCCAAAAAAAGAAATGCTTGATGAGATATGAAACATTTACATTAACTATTGTTTCCGAATTTAGTTACATTTTGGAGAATGCATCAGGCTGAGAAATTTTCAGCACACCTTTGCTGGCAAATATATCTTATGGGCCTTTTTGATGGCTTTCTCCCAGTATTGAATACATTGTTTTCACTTGACATCAAGCAACTTATTGCAGACCAGGAGAAATTAAACAAAAAGCTCAACAAAAAAATATATATATATATATATATATATATATATATATATATATATATATATTTATTGTTATATACTGTATCTATGAACACTAATGGGAATGTCCCTATCCTCATAAATACATTAGACACTATTGTAAGTGGGGGTAATAAGCTGTCTAAGTAGTCCACCACTAGCAGTGGTTTACCTACTTCACGGCATTGGCGAGTATTGTATTTTGTTGATGTTGTAAAGATATATATATATATATATATATATATATATACATTGTTTATACATTATTTTTATAGATACAAATATTTAAGTAAATGCTCTGTTCATAATAAACAGTATTAACAACATTTACTGACCTGAATGTTCGAGAAATTTCATAGAAAATATGTGTCCTCCAACAGGAACCGAACTTGTATCTTACACCAAATTGTCATATAGCCTGATGTGCTATACCATTTAGCTACAGAGGAAGCATCTGGTTAGCAAGGTTAATTTATTGTTTTTATAAAAATAATGTATAAACAGAAAATATATTAAAATAATTGTCGGACTTAGTCCACTTAATATATGATGTCATTTGTTTATGTTAAGACACGCTTTGAGCAGATATGAGTGTTCGAAAGAAATCATGGGATATTTGTAGTTTAAAAGCAGTAATTTAACCTTGCTAACCAGTTGCTTCCTCTGTAGCTAAATGATATAGCATGTCAGTCTATATGAAGGTTCCATGTAGGATACAGGTTTGATTCCTGTCGGAGGACACATATTTTCTATGAAATTTCTCAGACATTCAGGCCGGTAAATGTTGTTAATACTGTTTATTATGAACAGAGCATTTACTTAAATAGTTGTATCTATAAAAATAATGTATAAACAATATATATATATATATATATATATATATATATATACATTTCTGTGTGGACAGTTAAAGTACAATTACTAGTTCTTTCAAATTCTTCAACTCTTTTACTTGTCCATTTCCCACTGCTGCTTAAATACACAAGAATTAGATAAAGACTCAACTCTTTCGCTCTCATTTTCTCTCTTTTTCTTTTTTTTCTCCCTCTCTTGTCTTTTTCCTCCAATCCATGATAACTGTTCAACTTTAGACATCAGTAGTCACCCTCTGACCATTACTTCCTCCTGACATTTGAGGCCTATCTGTTTCTTGCCGTGGTCACTTGTCCATCTGTTTTGGCCACTGACGCTTATTGATCTCAGCCTTTGCTGGTCAATCAAGTGAGAAAAAGGCTCGGAAATCATTGCCAAAGGGGTTGTTTGGTTGGCTTGGCTGAGTTGAGGTGGGGCCTGCTATGATGGGGAAGTATTCCCTTGAACAACCTGCAGTGATAGGTTGCTGCTTTCATTTGAAGTGCTTCATCGTTAATTAGTGAGTTCTTGCTCCTGTAGAGCGAACACCAGCATTCAATTCCCCGCATTTTCTTTCTCTCTCTCTCTTTCGCCCTCTCTCTCTCTCTCTCTCTTTAATGTTTTACACACACAAACACACATTTATAAGCATATACCATTATGCATAAAAATATGTGCATATTTAAATACACAATATATATATACACTTATATAAACAGAATATACAGATATATAAAATAAATAAACGCAAAATTATGTGTGCCTGTGCAAGCATATATTAAAAATAAAATTGCATCAGATTTCATATGAGCTTAATTTTACTCAAGATTAAATGTAGATAATACAGCTTGATTATATTGATTGAGTGATTCATTTTTTATGGTTTATCAACCCTTTGGCAGGTTTTATTTAAAGCCAGAAAATATTTTTAGATTGTAAGAATTTTTTTATAATAATTATTAATATGATTACTAAGTCTTATTTTCACTTGATTGACCAGCAAAGAAATGTCTTTTTTTTTCTTTTTTTCCAATAGGGTAATGCCTAAAAACAAGATCCCTGTACTACACTTCTAGGTGGAACAATCCCAGACTTGTCTCCCATTGAACATATACGAAAAATAATGCTTCACTCATATATGTCTGTAAACATTTATTATAATCAAGCTGGCTTACAGCCATATAATGTTGAAACACCAGTTCTTGTACAATCACCAAAGTTAAGCAATGTCGAGCCTGGTCAATACCTAGATGGGTGACCATTTGGGAATACCAGGTACTGTAAACTTGGATGTATGGGTGATGTAATGGATAACAGCTCGGAATTGTTTATCGGAAATTTGAGTTCTAATTTCAGTTGGGTTTATTATATATACTTATGTGCAAATACCCTTAGGAAAAGTATGAATCTACCTATTCTCCCGCCAGATATGGGTTAATTAGTAAGTCTTGTATCATTAAATCATTATTATCTCAAAAAAAAATTCCTACAATCTAAAAATATTTTCTGGCTTTAAATAAAACCTGCCAAAGGGTTGACAAACCATAAAAAATGAATGAATCAATCAATATAATCAAGCTGTATTGCCTGTACATTTAATCTTGAATAAAATCAAGCTCATATGGAATGTCCTGCAATTTTATTTTTAATATGTGAAAAGTTAGGATTCCACCTATTCTCCCCCTAGCTATGGGTTAATTATTAAGACTTGTATTATTAAATAATTATTATCTCAAAAAAAAAAAATTTCTTGTAATCTAAAAATATTTTTCAGTTTTTAATACCCTGCCAAAGAAAATGAATCAATGAATCAATTGGAAATCATTGCTAAAGGTGATGTTTGTTCAGCTTGGCCAAGGTGGGATGGAGGTGTTATGATGAGGAAGTGCTCCCTTGAACAAGCTGCCATGATGGGTTCTTGATTTCATTTGCGGCATTTCATCTTTAATCAGTAGGTTCTTGCTCCTGTAGAGCAAATAACAACCTTCGATTTCCCTCATTTTCTCTCTATCAGTCTCTCATGCTTTTTCACAAACATGCACTCACATATATAAGCACATACCATTATACATAGACAAATGTATATATTTAAATACACAACACACACACACATATATATATATACACACAATATATAGACATATAAAATACATATATACAAAAATGTGTGCATGTCTGTGTGTGTGAATTTACGTATGGAAAGTAATATTATGAAAACCTGAATATGTCTTTCCATTTTCTCATGATTAAATATACAGGTAATAAACCATATATGCTTGTGGATTGCACAGGTTTTTGTGATCATTTTTAATGCAAAAAAAGGGGGTTGCATCATACACAGGTAATTATTTTAAAGTGGTTAAAAATCATGCATTTTCGATGACTGGTTACACTATACACAGGTAATTTTTTCTGGAGGGGTTAAAATCCATGCCAAAAAATTCAGGGGTTGCACCATACATAAAATCGGCTTATACACAAATATATATGGTAGTTGGATACTTCTTCTTTATATGTTTTGTCACCTTTCAAATACTGTCCTGGGTATGATGATAAACTATATCCATATCCTGGATAAGACGATAAACTACATCCAACAGCGAGGCCTCTGATCAGGAGGTTTTGAGGAGTGTGGAACCACCTCATAGTTGGTGTTGTTCCCAGGTCCACCCTAACCCGAGGTGGTAGCACCTGTTAGGGTCCCAGCAATGGGCAAATTATTAACCCCCAACCAAACTGGGGTCAAAACGCTATGAAAGTGTAAAAATAGTTTTTAATACCAGCAATATGTTTTTGTAAAAAAAAGAATTACCAGCAATAGATTTTTGAAGAAAAAATTATTATATATTACATTACCAGCAATAAAAATCTTGTTGGCATTAAATAATCCATTGAAGTTGATATACCTTAAAACAAAACAAACAAGACCTTTAGAATATGGTTGATCACAGCTTTCCACAACTTTCTATTTCTTGTATCTATCAACAATGTTTGTCTTTTTTAACATCCCTCCTCGTCCCTCTTCTGCTGTCCATTTACACAATCTTATTAGATAAATTGCTTCCTATTTCCCTCTGTCTCTCTTGCTTTCAGTATGTCCTGTGAGTGACAGATTTTCCAAGCTTTCTTTTCTCCTTATGTGTCACTGAAATTTTGACTATTTCTAATTTTAAGTGTAAATATCATTTTTGCTTTTGTTTTCTTAAAAATTTCCTCATTGCTCACATGTTCCATCAGAATTTGTCTTTATAAATACATCTCTTTTGATTCAAGTTTACATTTGTGATGAAATTATTCATTAAATGATCACATACTAAATGATTAATATTTGCAACTATATACACTACAGTTAAAAAGTTTGAGGAAACACTGGTAATTTTTTTTTTAATTGGCCCAAAAAATAGTTTTGTACTTTAAATAAGAGAAAATTATACATAGTTAAAAAAAAAAAAAAATTTTTTTATTAGAAGCTTTTTATGACAAAAAGAAAAAATCATTTTATGATTAAATTTTGCTCTCGTAAAAATATCCTCCTTTAGCCTAGATTACCACAGTAGAAACTTTTGGCATTCATTGTAAAAGTTTCTTAAAGTATAAGTTTGATACTTGATTTTGTTCTTTTTTCAGTGACTCTAAGACCTCTTTTTCATTTTTTTTTCATACTTCTGTCAAGTTCATCCCATGCTAATTCTGGGGGTGGCTTCAAACTTTTGAACTGTATAAATATAAATATTTAAATACATATACAGGATGCATCAGTTATTTGAGGACATAAATTCAGAAAAAGATATAACTCATGAATGACAAATTTTATTTGTAAACAGATTGGCACAAACAATCTTGAGAATCCTTTTATCACACCTATTCGATGAATTGTCCAGTGGCATTGATAGCTGTGTCAGTGCGGTGACAGAAACATTGATATGCCTGATTCAGGTAATCTTTCTTAGTTTTGGATGTAGCTCCAGTTATGGCGGACTTGAGAGATTTTATGAGATTACAAGGGTGTGACCTCTCTCCAAACTACACTGCATATGTAGCAGACCATATGTATTAGTATGAGTGTATGTCCACTTCCCATTTCCTTAGAGCTTCCTTACAGATCACATGTTCTCTCCATGGTATTCTCAGCATCTGTCTGTAGAATTTATGTCTTTGTTGCTGCAAGTCTCCTCATCAGGAAGAATTTGTCCAGCATTCACTGCCATATAGGAGGATTGATATTAAATAGCAGTTACATATCATTTATAATTAAATTTTCTGTTTCTTAATACTTTGTTTAGATTTTGGAAGGCATCTTTCCTTATTCCAATACACCATCACATTTCTGTGTCCAATTTATCTGTCATCTGCTAAAATTTCCAAGACAGTTAAATTTCTGCACTTATTTGATTTTGGTGAATCCAATTTGCAGATCGCTTCTTGAGTTGCTACCCTTCGTAACGAACATACATTCTGTTTTCTTACAGTTAGTCCTTTCTTCTTGCTTTCCTTTACTATCTTGTCTAAGAATTATTTCATATTTCTTTCTGTGTCTCATGAAGAAAAAAACTTTATTTGAAAACAAATTGGTAGAAATAACCTTGAGAATACCTTTATCACAAGGCTTACAGCCACATCATATAAAAACACTAGTTCTCATACAATCACCAAAGTTAAGCAACATTGAGCCTGGTCAGTACCTAGATGGGTGGCCACTTGGAAATACCAGATGCTGTAAGCTTGGATCTGTAATGGATAATGGCCAGGAATTGTTAATCAAAGACTTGAGTTCCAATTAGAGATGGGTTTATTATATTCTGTTACATGCACATACCCCTGGGAAAGGGATGAATCCACTGCTTCTCCCAGCTATGGGTTAATTAGTAAGTCTTGTATCATTAAACCATTACTGTCTTAAAAAAAATTCTTACAATCTAAAAATATTTTCTGGCTTCAAATAAAAACTGTAAAAGGGTTGATAAGTCATAAAAAAGAAATCAATCAATATAATCAAGCTGTATTGCGTGTAGATTTAATTTTGATAAAATCAAGTTCAGATTAAATGCACAGCATTAAACCAATATTATCTCAAAATATTCTTAAAATCTAAACCCATTATTATCTCAAAAGCATAAATAAATAAAAATAAAATTACGTCCAAAATATTTCAGTATTAAATAACCTATACAGGTGGATATGCCTTTAAACAAAATCAACCAACCAACACTTTATCACACCTATTAAACATATCCATCATTGGCATTGATGGCTGCTTCGATATAATGTCAGAAATAGTGACATGGTTAAATCAAATGTCATTTATCAATTTTGGACATAGTTCTGGTTATGGTGGACTTGAGAGATTTTAGTAGTATATAAAGTCTATTCAAACTCTAACTTAACACAGGTTC